GGGGGGGGGGGGGGGGGGGGGGGGGGGGGGGGGGGGGGGGGGAGGGCATTCATGTCCACGTATAGTGGGAGAGGGGGGAGATGGAGTGGGCAAGGGCATAGCAGTGCTAGTGAAATATGCAACGGCTGTGTTTGGACAAGTATCTGCCGCGCCACCGTCATCACCCTTGCGGAGTTGATAAGGACTGGAGGGGGGGGGGGGCGTGTCCACCGGCTCGACGGNGGGGGGGGGGGGGGGGGGGAGCGTGTCCACCGGCTCGACGGGCGGTCGTAGCAACAAAGAGATTCAGAGTTGGTTTGGCGGCATCCACAAGGTGTTGAGCGCAGCGTGCCTGCGATACTCGATCGTAGATATCGTAGATGCCATCCCTAAATTAAAAGAATCTTCCTGTGTGCTGTGTGGATCACTGCTGTCAACCAAAACAAGAAAAGTCTCCGTGAGGCAGGCAGGAAGGCTTCCGATAGTGAACGACCCGAGCATACATTCGAGCCATGCCTCTCCACACGCAAGCCTTCGCAGACGGCAAAGTGACGAGAGCTGTACACGAGAGACGGAGGCGGCCTCAAAGAACCAACCCCTCACCGAACAATCAGAAGAACAGCTAGCACGTGTTGCCACACACGCAAATCACACCTCCCACAACTTGATGGTCTGGTCTCGGGAACACGAGACCAAAGTGTCTCCCGCCGGTGGCACCCACGCCACGCAGGACACGTTGTGGTCGTGCCCTCTCAAGGTCTTGAGGCACTCCGCCCCGCCTGCCCCACCCTCCGAGAAATTCCAGATCTTTTCCAGGAACAACGAACATCGTTCCCCCCCAAGCCAGGCGCCGACCGAGCCGTGCGTTCGCATGCGATGCCACCCCGTGCCAGATGCCGCGCCATGGACATCGGGTCCGGTTTGGCGATAGCAAAGATAAAAACCCGAGGGGATACAGCAGCACCAGCGTAAGACCAGGCGCCCCGAGCATGTAGATAGAAATAAATCAAATCGATTTCATCATGATGGAGGACGAAAGACAAGGAGACAGCACAGAACAGAGCGGAGCGGTAGAAAGTAAAAAACAAAAAAAGGAGGAGGAAGCGAGCGGGAACGACAGTTACAAGAATCTGGGGGTTCCGAAAGAGGGAGGAAAGAAGACGCTCGCCGCAGAGGCCCTCGAGGTAAATGGCCGACGACATAAGCATGATTGTGGAATAAAGGGGGTACCGACCAAGCATTACAACGCCACGCCACCCATTCTTAGTAAACCATCCAACCGTCTTCCCGAGGGTTCTTTGCCCACAACCGGAGCTTGAACAGAGCTGTAGCGGATAACTCATGACTAATGACTCGCCCAAACTCCACTGATGGCCCGTATCGGTCGGTGCCAGTACAAGGGCATTGATTCCACTACTAAGATATGGTGCTGTTTTCGTAACTCATGCTCTGACACCGGGGTTCGTTGTAAACCTTATCAACAGTCAAGCAAGTTGTTGTCGAAAAAAACGTTCCGGTCGATGCTGAGTACCTTCCAAATACATCCGCGTACCGGTCCAGCTGACACGGACGCCTTCCGTGGCCTCACAGGCCAACTAGCCAACGAGGGTAGTCACCAACCTGAGATGAAAGGCTTACCTCCCTAGTCCAACTTCCGATGGCGCTTTTACCTTGATGGTTGTGTCGGCCGCGCAAGATGCGAGGCGCTGTCCATCCGGGCTGAAGGCCACCGATTGTACCACGTTCGTGTGCCCCTTCAGGGTCCGCTCACACTCACCCGTCTCGTAGTCCCACACCTTCGGTAACGGTAACAGTAACGTCGTCAAGTACAGCATCACCGCCGCACGCGAGCCATACCACAGATTAGACAACTGCCTCCTCACAGCTACTGTAACAACACTATGTAGCACGAATAGCGATACGTGAGATAACGCCGTTCCTCACACCTTTCGAGAAACACCATTGCACGGAAAGTAGGGCACCAGGTTGAACGACTACTATTCTACTAACCCCGCGACGACTGTCGCTACTCTTGCAGTCAATGCGATGAGGCTCTGGCGCGGTGGGCCCGTCTCGCGAGTATCCGGGGTCAACAAGAAGGAGCACCACACACCCCAACAATATGTGATCAGCGGCAAGAAAAAGACGCAAAAGGTGGTACACTTCACAAAGGCACAGGCAGCACTGCAGTAGAATACTCGCATTCATGAATCATAACAGCTCTTCAGTAGTCAACGCAGGAGCGACGCGTGAGAACAAGGGACAACAACGAAAGCTGACGATGACAGCACCAGCAACGACGTCAATCATGACAACATCGAAGCCGATGACGACGATGGTGACCAAGCACGAATGTACGAACAAAAAATACGTCGACCACCTCGAACGAGGGAGCAACTATAGCTGCGCTTGGACCGCCTCTGGCACATATCGAAGGCCAACAACCTTTGCAGCCCTCCCTCTACCCTACCCCACCTTACCATACCATACCCTACCAGCACACTATACCATACCGTGCAGTTCCATACCAGACCCAGCTACATCACACCATACCTTGACGGTGGCGTCCTCGCTGGAGGAAGCGACGACGCTGTAGAGCGGATGCAGAGCCACGCACGTGACCGGGTTCCGGTGTCCAGTGAGCACGCCCTTCGCCGGCGCCCTTGGCAACACGCGATCGCTCCCGCCAGCGCCCTTTTCTCTCCCTGGTCTGACCCCGCTCTTGAGGTCATCTTGCGCCTGGTCCAATCGCGCCTCGAGCTCCATAACCTGCGTACGGTAGGTAGTAGAGGAGAGAGGCAGACGGAGAGCAACAGCGACCGGCACGTGGGACCCAGAATCTTCTCGGATTCTGGAGCACATGGGCGTGTTGCGTTGAACCACAAAGTTCGTATTTCCGGAACGATTCATTACAGCCAAGTCAAATGCACCCCAGATGTAAGCACACAGCGACCGACGGGAATGTAACCAGGGATAGCAGAGCAGCTACGATATCTGTAGGTACGTACAGCAGAGCGGGAAAGGACCGCCAACACCCAGCGCCGAAGTCGGTGGAGAAAGTTCAGCACTCAGGAAGAAGATCAAGGGCAACTAGGACAACTATTAAAAGGACAACAACAGCAACAACAACAACCAAAAAACAAGAGGGCACGCTACTGCTGCGCAAGATGTCAACACCAACCACGACCGCGATCCATTGGCTATAGGGTGCCGCTTCGTTTGTAGCAGGTTCTTCCCGCGGTTCTCCGCCATGACACGTCGACCTATATCCACGCGGGGCTGCAGACGTCCGCACTCCTCTCCAAGAACTTAACTGGCAAGCCACGGTTCACTCGCTCTTGAACGCAACTTCTCTCTCTGTTTCATTTTAGATCGCGTTTTGTGGTGGCGCCAGAAACAACGAGCAATTCTTCCAACCCACTTCCCCTGCTGTTGTACTCCGTCGGACTCTGTTTGCCGGTATGAACACGCGTCTCGCTTCGTTGTGCTGGCAATGAACAACAGCAGGCACGCTTTCACCTGTGCTAGGGTTATCGCAAAGAAAACACAAACAGCACATGCATACCATGTGTCACAAAACCCACAGAAGGCGAGATGGTCTCCAGGACACAGCAGCACACTTGAGCTACAACGGGCAACGACACGGGCAAATCAGCCGTACAAGGCCAATTATAGCTAAGCCCCGCGACCCCTCGCCTTTCTCTGGAGGCGAACGACAGACGTCCATTTCTTCTCCAGCAAACCACGGAAACTCTCGTTGCCCGTGGCGTCCTCCAGACCCGTCGCAACCGCAAACGCAGCTGCCGCGTCGGCAAAGTCCCCCCCCTGTCCCTTCATGTACTCGAGCATCCCCACGTGCCTTGTCGGCGTTCGATAGTAGAGCGATTTGGCCGGGGCGAGGGGGGTATGGGGGGTCAGGGGATGTTGAACGGGGAGGAGGGAGGGACCTTTGAGTTTCCTGCAAGCAGAGGTTGTTGTCGTCGCCCCCCCTCCCCCCTGTGGTCCTTGGCAAGCCGGAGCATTTCCAAGGTAGCGCGTGGTCGGTCCATTGGTGAATCGATCGAGGGTTATCTAATGGTTCAGTTCATTTGAGTCGAAACGCGATCCAATCAATCCCTTTCGCGTGCGCCCCGCCGAGGTCCCACGTATACACAGTAGGTCTTGGACAAACCAAAAATGGAGCTACGGGATGAAGTGCGTACGGGATGAATAACTGCTGTGGGGGGTGGCAAAACCACGGTACATTGAGCGAACAAAGTCCACGGGTTCAGGATTCTTTTTTGCGCAGAAGACTGCTGGCGGGAGATCCCTCCGACAGCATTCGGAGGCATTTTATAGTTACGAGGTCCATGCCGCGGCCGTCGCCGCACTGCACGAGGATGGCATCCTGGATAAATAAATTAGAATCCGTCGCTAATGCACACCGCCGTCGCGGACCAGGATAACTCTACTCCACTCATCCATGATGTCATCCTCGTACAGCGCGGTGACAGCCGGGTCACGGACCTCAAGCGCGTGAGATTGTTCCCAGGGCCGAGGAAAGGAAAAGTACACACAGCAGCACGTACAAACAGGGAGGACGTACAACTTCGATGAGTACCTTCGGGTAAGTGGCTCTACCCTTTGATTCCGTGGGATTGCTGAAATAATTTTAAATGTTTCTTCAGGAGTTTTGCTTTTTCTCCACCTTCCGGTCTGCGGTCGTGCTTGCCTTCATTTTATCGCGAGAAGGGGGTTCAGCCGTTCCTTTCTTTCATCGGACCGTCAAGTCGAATTTGTTGCACACAGCGCCGGGGTAGCCAATTCCCTCTTCCGTCAAAGCAGGTGACACTATGTTATATCCTATTCCAGTCGACCATCATGCGCAACGACTCAACCGAGAGCAGAGAGTTAGTTGTTCATGTACGGCTGGCGCGCTCCAGTCCTGCCCCCTGCCCCTTTGTAGGCATTGAGTCTATGCGCCTGTTTAGAACGTACGAAGCATGTTCTTAGTCCGGTCTTGAAACATGTTTCTCCTAATAATGTTGCAAAGCACGGGCTCTTTGCACCTTTGAATGTAGGAGGCGAGCTCACGGCTTTGGTTACTATGAGCAAAGAACAGCAGCAGCAGTCTATTCCCACATTCATGCCGGTTTGGATTCCTATGCCCTCCTATTGGTATCTAGAGCAGGTTTTTACTACTGTTTCCTCTGTCGGCTGGACCACATGAAACATGACACATGACACGTGTATCACACTCTGTCCGGCTCTTCGCCAATCAACCAGCTACACTACGCATATAATAGCCCATCTGCAAAGTGGTGCGCACTATGCATACAATACAATGATATCAACTCTTCAACCTGTTGGTAAGGGGCGAGAGAGATTGAAAATTGAATACATCCTTTTACAATGCGAAGTGGGATGGATTCACGCATGCAACGTCTCTCAAAAACACGTGACATATGCCACATTCATCAGACTACAACCTCTTGACGAGACTCTTAAATGATGTGTGTTCTTGCATAGACTCTCCTACAACATGTCAACACTTGCACACAGGTAGACTGCTGTTGAATGCCTGCTGTAACAGCATACTATGTATGAAAGTCTAATCGTTAGCCATAAGGTCCAGGTCAACTCTTGTGTCTATCGTATACCACGCGGGAAGGCACTTGTGATCGAAAGTATGATCAAGGCAGGATGGAGCAGCCATATTTGCAATCAATCCTGTTCGTGAGAGGCATTGTAGATGCGTGTGCAACAAAACAAGTTCGCACTTTTATTTCGTGCGAGACAGATTTTCGCGGAATTATTATCAATATTCTGCTGTTGTCTGCACCGGCTGCACTGACATGTGGAGAAAGGAGAGACAAAAAATCAAAGCAGCCGTTTCCTTTCGGCGTATTTGGTTCATCTGCATGTCTGTGCGCCATGGCCAGCCTCTTTCTCTCCTTGCAAACTTTATACATACCGCAGTGCCCCAACCACACATGGATCGTTGTGTAAGTATGCCAGTCTCGGCCACAGGCGTGTGGCGACTCTCCCGAAAGCACACCCTGTGATGCGAAGCACGTTTATTTCGTGTGTCTGTTTGACCAAGACAGCAAGGTGCGGTGTGTGTGTGTGTGCAACTCTTTGTGGCGTGCTCTTCGGTGGCAAGCTTCCAAGCCACGACGCCATGCTCACATATCATGCCGCTGCTTCTGGGTGAGCACCATCCTTCCACAGCACCCAAGCCTTCCACCAGGCACACTGTCTCTCTCCCTGTCTCTTGGTAGTTGTTGGTGTTCAACAAAGCCAAGCAGTTCGCTCGTTCGCAGTCTCTGGTAGCAAGTCGGGGCACGCGGCTCGCCATGGAATAAATTACGTACCTCTCGCAGTATTTCGCCATGCTGTTCGCGGGTCCCCTAGCTCTCGTTCTCTGATCTGTCTCTTCTCTGTGGTCTGCTTGTCCTTCCCTCTTCCCTTCTCCCCTCCCCTCTGTATCCTTCCCGCCGCCCCCCAAACACCCTGTGTTGTGTGTGAAGTATGGAGGGCGCTGTGTTGGGTAGGTTAACGCCTTTCATGCTCTTCTACACGGAGCACCGAGACGCCGTCAAGGCGCGGATCAACACACACAGCAGCAGCAGCAGCAGCAGCAGCAGCAGCGAAACATCACCCCGCTCCCAGGATATCAGCCGAGAGATTTGTCGCCTGTGGCAGCTTCTCACTCCGCAGCAGACGAAGGAGTATTGCCTGCTCTCTAACCTCTACGCGGAGAGCCTGGCGAAGTTCGGAAGCAGAAGATCTTCGGGTGGCAACGCCAGCGCCAGCGGCAGACAACCCAAAAATGCCAACAGCAGCAGCAGCAGCAGCAGCAGCAGCAGCAGCAGCAGCAGGTCGAGGCGGAAGAAAGAAGCTCGTCTGGCGGGACTGCCGAAGCCTGCCGTGAGCTCGTTCATGTGGTTCTCTCGACACCATCGCGCGATCCTCAGGACTAAGAACCGCGAGATGAGTTTCAGCGATATCGGGAAGGCAGTGGGGGTGCTGTGGAAGTCGGCGACCGATGAGCAAAAGCGACCTTTTGACGACCTTTCCGCCGAGGTATGTAGGATGTAACGGCATTCGGGCAGTCCCATCTAACCTACCGCTCGTAGCAGCAAGGACCCTTCCATCCGCGGCAATAGAGTAGCACGCAGCAGACAAAGACACGCAGAGCGTGACGGTGACAACCATCAAGCTCCAGCAGAATGCTGCTGCTGCTGCTGCTGCTGCTGCTGCTGCTGCTGCTGCTGCTGCTGCAGTCGGTGTGTGACCTAAATACAACAGGAATTGGGTGAGAACAAGAACGTGCCCTCATCCGTCATCGCAAGGAACCAAACAGACTCGGCACATCCAGCGTACTTGGCCGACAGCAGTTCACTGATCTCTCGTTCAGAGCAGGTGTACCCCGCTCGACAGGGCTCGGTATTGTCGGAGATGGAATAAAGTTGTACAAACGGATGTTTTGGGTGTAAAGGGCGCGGCCGGCTTTTAGGGTTCCGGCGGAAAGACTCGGTCGACAACCGAGGAGGGGAGCGGGGGCGGGAGTTCTGTCGCTTTCTCCTTGTCCTGCTCAATAGCATGATCGACCTCGCCATATCCACGACGCGGCAAGTTGAGGCGGCGTAGTTGGTGTGCTCTTGGCTGCCCGCATCTGACACAACACAATTGTTCATCTCGGAGAGGCGTTCGTGGTTTCATCTCTTGGTTACATCAATGCTGTGGACATGCCAACCTCTAAACAGGCAGTAGTGGATCCCAAGAGCGGGGCGGGATGCGTTAGTTATTTCTTCTTCCCTTGTTTCGTGGTATTCCTGCCACACGCTCACGTGTACCGTGCCCCCTCCCCTTCTAACGAATGTGTCGCTGCTGCTACGGCCACGGCGGTGTGTGTGTGTGTGTGTGTTCATTCTCAGGACAAAGCACGATACGCGCGCGAGCTTGCCGAGTACAAGGCGTGGCTGCTCCTCAAGCAAGGCTCGACAGAAAACAAGGGGGAGGTGCCGACGCAGGCTGACAAAGCAGCAGTAATAACGGCAGCGGCGCCGACATCAAGGCACGCCTCTGTTGCCTTGCCTGCCCCACCAACAGCAGCAGTAGCAGCAGCAGCAGCAACAACAACACCGGCAGAGGTGCCCGTGCCTGCCACAACCGCGACTGCTGCAACACCCATCGCTCCACCCCCTATACCGGCGACGCCAGTGACTGAAGCCTTCGTCGCGACTAGCGTCCTCCCCTCCTCAGAGTGTGAGCGTGGAAAGGCTACCACCCCGGTCGCGCCTGGTGCCGCCCTTCCGGCCCTCCCGCCTCCACCCCTCCCGCCGGCGTCGCTCCCCACTTCCTTTCCCGAGCACCCGTTGCATGACGGCGGCACGGGGATGGCGATGATGCATCAGCAGGCTAAGCGACAGAGGCGAGAAGAGAGTGCTGCTGCTGGTGACGGTAGCATTTCCGGCGCGGGTGCAGTCCCTGGTGTGATGGTCGGTGTTGCCGCTGGGGCAGCAGTCGAGAGTATTGTTGCCATGCCGACGATGGATCAGGAGGCGCTGGCGGCGAGAGGCAGGAGCCACGTCCCTCACCTCACGCAGCAACAGCAGCAGCAATATCAGCAAGCGCAACACAGCATCATGCAACACCAACGAGGCCAACAACAACACCAGCATCAGCACCATCAGTATCAGCAGCAACAACAACAACAACAACAACAACAACAGCACCAGCACCAGCACCAGCTATGCGATACCACGAGAGTGGAGGGACCCATGGTGGTTTCTCAGCCTTCTCTTCATTACAGTGTTTGATATTTGTATTGGTTGTCGGTTGGACGCTCGACAGGGGACGAGCGCTCCCTTGGAGATGAGTGATGGTTTCCTGGAGGCGAGGGAAGGGGAAAGAGGAAGAGGCTAGAGCGAGGAAAAGAAACGGTAGAGTCAGAACATTTGTGCAGGGTATGCAGGGAGAGATGTAGTGTTCTTCAATTTTCATCAACCGAGGTGGGGAGTTGACGCTAGGAGCTGGCTACGACATCGGAAACAAGAACGAAGACACATGCATATGAACACGTAACCTCAGTCACGTTTTCATGTGTCGGGGTCTTTCGACGTACTAGGTCTGGCGCTCCTTGTTCGTTTGTAACTGGTATGCCACCACCCGCTCACTGGGGACGTTTTGCGACGTTGTGGGTTGGTGAGTTGTTTTAAGAGCCGTGCTCGATTTCGGACCCGGAATGTCGCACGGCCTAAGGGTGAGAGCACCTTTCGACACTCAGGACAGGCTGCTAAGGGCACCTTTTCCTATTCCTGAGCGGAAGCATCCTCCTAGACGATCCTGCACAGCGCGTGGTTCGTGGTGCGCCACTTGGCTTGACTTGACGAGCTTTGTCGGCGCACCACGCCGATACACTATTTTTGTGTCGCGCGCTGGTGTTTTTTGTTAGGGAGTGTTGGCCGTTCGTTGTGTAACCGGGGCGAAGCGTTTTGAGTGCTGCTGACCGGCCCAACAAAGTATTCAAGCAAGGAGCGGCACACTTTTACTCTCTGTGGTTGGTGAAGTGATGTGTGTGTTTGTTAGATCGGGGGTGATACATGGGTTCTTTTACGTTTTGCTTCGTTGCCCACGCTACTATATGTTTTGCGGCAGCTCTCAGCGAGAAAGGCGCTCGGCCAACATTGTGTTCGAGTTATAGACTGTCATTGTAGTGTTGGTAAAGGTTTTTTGTACAGAGACGCGAGGGCTGCTTATGTATAGCCAGGAGCAGGCTCAACCGCCTCTCCGCTTTCTGAACTCCCCGCCCTTGGGAGAAAGGGGGCATCAGGGTTAGGGGCCTCTCTGCTTATGGTGTTCGACAGTGTCGTGAACAAAGGAAGGTTAGTTTTAATCCTGGTCACGTCTGCTGAGCGGCGAAATTAGCACATTTTCCTTTGACGTTCTCCAGGTCTCAGTGAAGACAGCATCACGTGTATCCCGTAGTGCGGCGGCTCTATTGATTCTCAATCAATGCTCTTCTCCGCAAGCTAAGCTGGCTTGTCTGTTTCTTGGCATGCACAGCCCGTTGTCGAGAAGGAGAGCGTTCTCATGCCGTTGCAAGACCTATCCTCTTTGTTGGAACTCACTCGGGAGGTGTTCTCTTTCTCTGTTTAGCGCGTGCTTGGGGGTTTTCGAGGCAACAGACCTTCGGTGGCGGAGGGCTTCCCTCCTACATAAATCGGCACACCTGCTGGATCCTGCAGCAGTCCACTGAAATGGAGCACTATCGCGCCTCACATGGCCATAGAATGTGTAGCCTGGTTGTTGTCGCTGTAGGGAACGCGGCGCCCTGTTGCTTTGCCCTCTGGCAAGGGCTCGTGTGTACGATCGGTTTTCCACCGGTGTTTGTCTGCAAGACAAGGCTACACGCGAGGAGGCGCCTCCTCCGAATATGTACATTAGGTAGCGTTGCGGCGAGGCGTCCGATTGTAACATGGTGTAGGAGAGATTCAGGCCAGTTTCCAGCAGGGTGTGTGTTGGAGATGGATCTCTCGTGGGCGGGTACCTTATAGATGATGCCGCCCCAAAATCGTGGTGGTGTGTTGTTGGCCAATCTCATTTTCGCTGCGCGAGAGGATTGATTGAGGCTGACCGAGACCACACCGTTGGAGCTGGAAGATATTAGTTGAAAATATGGTGAATACTTCGAATGCAAGGCTTTTCTTGTGTCACGGCGTCCCTCCTCGTTCAGCAGAAAGAAGTGACTTGCCGACCGACCGTCGGTGACGTATTCGGTCGATCACGAAATGTTCGCCGTTCCGCGGAACCTTCCTTTTCAAAAATCGGCCAATCAGAAAACTGCGGGCACCTTCCTCTCTCTCGTCATCATGTATGATCGTCATGTGTGTGTGTGGTGGGGAGAAGTTTGGCTGAGATCCCTTGTGATTGTCGTGTGAGGTCTTCAATCAGTCATCCACGGCGAAGTTGTCGAATTCAGAATTTTGAATCTCTCTCAAGAAAAAATACCTCATGACCGTGGCTGACTGCATCGGTCCACCACGGATTTTTGGTCGTTCCACGGAACCTTCCGTTCAAAAAAATTGGCCAATCAGAAAACTGCGGGCACCTTTTAAAAAATGGCTTTTTTATCAAGGAAAATGCGCGGTTCAATGATACGCCTGTGGTTGGAAGCAAGAGGAGTCTGCTGCTACATGCAATTCTCTGTTTCGTGTCCACAGCGATAAACGTTAGTCTGCTAGCGCTGCAGGGACTTCTGGTGGGGGGAGCAGAGCATATGCGCGTAGGGTTTAATGTAAGCTCTGCGGCTTTCTTTCTTTACAAAGAAGAGATGGACTAGTCGCGTCGATGGTGAGGTGGCAGCGGAGTGCGCGTATGCTGCGTCATTTCTCACTCTTGCCTATGACATCCCCCTCATTGAGAGGCAAGTACTGTAACTAAGTCTTGTTCGTTTCCACCTCCTGTCCGCCGAACAAAACATGGATGTACCCATCTGCAGGCACTCATTCCTCTGTTTGAAGTGCGTTCGGCCGGACGAAGAGAGCAGTATTCGTCGATACCGTTGCGCCGACTGCAGCAGCACCACGCCGTGCTTGCTTCCTTGTGGATACAATGTACACCTAAGGGTCTCACGCCGAGATACGTCTGTTGTTACTACAGTAAGCGATTACGTTCGTCTACACAATTTAGGAACCGTGTACGCACAAACAACTCCGACCCCGCACATGTGCCCCTTGCTTGTGCCCTTGCGGTGACTGTTCTATACATGGCGCAAAGAGAAAACATAACGCCGTCTCTGTCCTCAAAGGAACAACGGATATCGTGAACCGTATGCAATCCATCAGTCTCTTCCTTGTGAGAAAAGAAAGTATTTTTGGTGCAACCAGATGAAACGCCGATCAATCTAAGTCTTGAGCTTTCGACAACGGTGATCGCCAGACGCTCTTCCGTGCAACACACAGGGCCCGCACCCGAAACCGACAACGTCTACATTGGACGATCGGATGGCGAAACGGACACCAAATCCGCCAACCCCTGAACTGCTGCCCAACGAAATTCAAAGCGTGTTGCGTGCAGCCACACGGCAGCTAAACCGCAAGAACGCCATGACTGGCAGCCACTGGTCACAAGGCCGAGGGAAACATTTTCCACGCCGGGAAAAAGGAAGCCGCTACGTCAACCGCCAGGGTGCGGAGGCTACGCTCGAGCGGAAAGGACGCACCATCCGTGAAACAAGGGCGAGCCGTGTTATCGCCCAGCATAAGGCCATTCATCGTACTTATTTCCCCATTTCCACCCACACGATCGATACGCAACGCTCCTGCTTTCGCCAACGCTACGAGAAACACAACAACAGAGAAGAAGCCGCAAGTAGCCCGATAGCCACAAAAGCCCGAAAACTTGGCCTTCCCTATCGCCTTGGCTGCCCTTGGGGAGTCTCCTTCTCCACTCGGCACCGGGAAAGCGGGTGCGGAGCGCGGGCAAAGAAAGAAGCTTTCGTCTCCTCTCACCCCTCCCTCTCCCTCTTGACGCTCCGAGAAGAAAAAATACGGAGCTGGCAGGGTCCTAGGCCTCTCTTCCTCCGTCATCCTCCCTTCCCAGGTCGCCCTCTCCCTCTGCTCACACAGTTTTCCCTCCCTCTCGATGTCCAACCCACCCCCGCCACCCTCTTTGAGGACACACGGACTCTGAGGTGTTCAGCAGCTGGATATGGCCAACACAGCCTTGTATGCCGAGTATGAGCGTGTTGCCGAAACCCCGCCGAACGGTGTCCTTCCGTCAATTCCGCTCTTCTCTCGGCCTCTCCCATGGCCAGTGAATGATGCACATCGTTCCACCACTCATAAATCTCTTCGTGCAGCTCTTTTCTCGCCAACCTCAAAACTGCCATTTTCTCCTCGGTTCCACCACCCCCCACTCCCACCATGGGTCAGATCTTACCCCGCACGTGGGCAGTGCTCCTCGAAAAATTGTGGGACAGGAAAAGGCTCAATGATACCACGCCCGCACCCTTCCTGGACGGCGTGTTGACGGCAACGTCAACCCTGACCCAATCTGATCATGCCGCCTCGGCGTGTTGTGCCGGCTTGGCGACGGCGCCCTTGTCCTGGAGGTCCTTGATTGCCGCCTTGATCGCGTCCTCTGCGAGCATGCTGCGGGCCGAAGACACAACGCAGCACACGCGGACACACCGCGAGAAAGCAACAAATCAAATCAAGTCGACGTTTCATGATAGTTGCCCCCCTCGACACGCAACATTCAACAAAGTGGGTTGCCAAACAGTGGGCACTCGCCGGCCTCGATGGCCCTCACTCGTGTGTCGCTCGTGTGTCGCTCGTCTCGTGTGTATACCCGTGACGAAGGAGAAAATACGCGGAGGGATAGCGTGGCGAGAGAGGTGTGTCCAACCGAGCCCAACTCTACTTAGTTCTACTACTGCGCCCACAAGGACAACAGACATGCAGAACAGACACAAAAAAAATGTTCCCCTTGCCTGCAGTGCAGCTTCACCGGCGGCAACTTGAGGTGCCCCGCGATGTCGGTGTTCTTGATCTTCAAGCTTTCGTCCACGGAGCGCCCCTTGAGCCACTCCGTCGCTACGCTGCTCGACGCGATCGCCGACCCGCACCCGAACGTCTTAAACTTCGACTCGGTGATCACCCCGTTCTCGTCCACCTTAAAAAAACGACGAGAGACGGGGGAGACAAAATATAGACAAGGAGACAAGACCAAATAGAATGAGTAAGCGAGATATCAAACACACAGGGAAAAGAACACCTCAATGCCACAGCCGGTTGTGGAAGAGACACACGACACGCATGCAGCAAGCAACACAGCAGATACACTGGCATGGTTTTGAAGCAGGGGGTAAACACCAGACGAAACCCAGAAGTATTGAGGATTTTTTTCATAGTTGCTGCGATAGCACCGTTCTGAGGTCACCATGCACGAGGAGCGGCGGCGTTTCGCCCGCGTTGCACGGCCGACTCTACATGGCAGGCCGGCCAAGCGGGGGGAAGGGGTGGCATGCCTTCGTCCTGGATCGTTCCGCGTCCGGTGGAAGGGTGTGTGGCTGAGCAAAACAACAAGGAGTTACATGTCTGATCACCACGTCGTGGATCGGTCTCGCGGACCTCCTCGTCCTGCCTTCTACCAATAGTAACTATGCTGAGGGATCGTGCAGTCACCGTCATCGGGGCAAGACCGCAGCGATTGTCCGTGGGCATCGCGACCGGCTCCCGGTGACTCACCTTGATCTGTAGCTTCATGACATCACCGCAGGCCGGCGCCCCAACCAAACCCTGTCGTTTTCGTCGACGAGATTGTTTTGAGCGCAAGGGCAAAAGCCCAGCAAATCGAGGGAGTGGAAGGCGGACGTACGCCGTGTGTGAGACGGTTGTCAGTCGTATGGGAAGCCAGGGCGAGAGTCTACCTATTTTGGGGCAGCTAAATAGCTGCATCACGCGTCTCGGCAACAGCAGTATCTCTTAACATCGGTGCATGTTGTTGTGGACTCGCGCAATGACAACTGACGACTTCGTGAACGCTTCACTGCTGTCACCGCCCACTTGTGAGGTCAAGGACAGATGATCGACGCTGTGTTGGTGCAGCTGCAAGCGCTGCTTGCGCTGCGGGAAGCGTTCCGCTACTGTACGTCGCAGAATCTCAATTACCTTGTCCAGAGGGTGATGAGGTCGGTATTTTGCGCGGTTCTAATGTGGGAGGGAGCTACCTGAGTGGGCGCAAACGAGCAATCCGTGCTGCTTGATTTTCTCAAACTGTTTGGTTGAGGTAGCACCGACACCGACCGGAGCAAGTGATCGAAGTTGCTGGCCCAGTCAAGATGCAACGTGAATATCGTGAGAGGCTACCGCGTAACCGTCACAACTATTTTTCCCGGGGTATATGTATGTGAATCCCTCCAGCGTGCGCGTGCCGCACTAATAACTACTGCAGGTAGATAATCACCGGGGTCGGTGCCAAGCCCGTACGTTTGCAGCAACGCAAGAGGCCTTGTTAGTGATGAACATACACGGCAGTACAGCAGTTGCCGCATCGATTGAGGTTGCCAAACGCGCGCCTTACTCCCTACAACTTTTGAGAGCCGATTCTCCAGCAACTTCACCGTGCCCACGAATTTGTCCTTCTTGTCCATGGAGCCAACGTTGCGAGGGTTCTCGTAGTGGTCGACGATGTTGTCGTGGTAGCTTCTCCTCGGATTCGCCACCGCTGCTCCTGACCGCCGCATCCCGGCTAGCCCACCCGCGACAGTTTTCCGCGTTACATTCTGCAAGGTGTTCATCGTGGCCTTACGTATGCTGCATGGGAACACATCCGACAAGTGAGCAAACCACCGAAGAGGCCGTGGGGTGTTGATCATCAAGAATGGGGGGAGAGGGCGAAAGAAGAGAGAGGTCAGATGTGTGCATTTACCAGAGGAACCGGCGGCGTATTTCTGTCGCGAGAATACAAGGGCGGCGTATTTCTGTCTAAATACATAGAGAATACAAGGTGCGGGTCTGTTTCAATGTTTCGATCGAAAAACTCGGTCGCGGGCTGGCAGCAGAGTCAGACTTGGAAGGCATCAGCAACCGGCAGGTGACCAGACGTTGAACCTGTGCTTCATCATTTTTTGAGTAATGATGCGCCCGGGGTCGCATCCATTGTCGTCTTCCTGCCGGAGCGCTTCGTGCGTGTCGACGCGGCAAACCAGCTCTCTGTTGCACTTGAGGGAACAGCTCTGAGAGAGCGTGGACATGGCAAGCTCACTTCCATCGCCGCAGACAAAACAATCGAGTCAAACCCACCTCACGGTGGAGACACGTGAGTAATACAGCCATGATTTTGGTTCACCTGCTTCCTGGTAGATTGAGTATGTGAGAGATGGAGCGGCTTGTAGGTGAAGTGCCGGTATGTTGTGCCCGTGCTGCGTGTTTGCTGGTCATCGGGGAGCACACAGATGAGACCCGAGGGGGGGGTCTTTTCTCGTAGAAGATCGCGGAGATTGAACAGCTGAGATGATGATGTGACGCAAATTGAACAGGCGCGAAATCTTTGGTTTGGCGGTGTCTGCAATGGCGCGTTTTACCCCTCACCTAACCAGGGGGTGCTCTCAAGCAGTTCAAAGGGCGATGAAGTGTTGTCGACTCTGAACTGTCCTCCCTCCCTTTCGTAACACATGGGTACGATGATCCGCACACACGACACGTGCAGCAGTGTAGTCCGTTCCTTCTAGATATTCTGACATGTCGGGGTCCGGGACAGGACGACCGCTGTCGAGAGAGACCGGTGGGCATGAGCTGTTCGTGGGTCTGCGAACATTGGTGTTGGATACATGTACGTACCCTTCTTCCCCTCGCTGCCTCGGGAAGTTTGCGTAGGCATGACCCATACATAGCGAAGGGGGGGATCTTTCTAGCGAGCAGGGCTAGACTCTGATACCTTCTTGCTGCGGCGCACCCGCCGCGAGGCGTGCGTAGTGGTGGAGTTCGGTCGGCACTGGTGCGTCAGGTACAAAGGTGCAGATGCGTGGGCCTCCAGGCCGTCGGTGTAGGCAGCAATGCCCACCTCATCTTTGTGCGCGCAGGGAGACGCCACCAGAAAGGTGGACGGGCACTCTGTACGCGGCCCTAGGTTTGTTAGATAGAGGGAGCTGTACTGTCTCAGTAACCTGGTTTTGCCATCTAAGGAGGAGGGGACAGGTGGTGACGAGCTGATTTGGCTGGTTGACCCTTCGGCGCGATAATTTTTAGACCAAGAACCCTAAGTGCAACGAGGGAGAAACCGAGGAACCGACTGGGAAGGACAGCAACGAGAGCGTGTACGAAGCGGAGCGGGTCGAGTTTGGTCGTGCTAGGACTGGCCACAGCGGCACCGGAGCAGCGGCACCGGAACAACAGCGGAACCAGAGCATGCGGACGACATCGAACCGTGGCGCAAGGACAAACATCTCTTGTGTTGTCAATTATTTTCCGTTTTTTCCTGAAATAGGTGTTTGGTATGTGTGATGATGTCACTGGTTTTGTAGAGAGACGCGGCAGAGATGGCGCGGATAACCCGGGTTCCTTAATTGTGTACCTGCATCATCGTGGAAGACCCCTTCAATGTGGAACGATTCCTAGTCAGTGTCGATGTTTACAGTTNAGCGGGTCGAGTTTGGTCGTGCTAGGACTGGCCACAGCGGCACCGGAGCAGCGGCACCGGAACAACAGCGGAACCAGAGCATGCGGACGACATCGAACCGTGGCGCAAGGACAAACATCTCTTGTGTTGTCAATTATTTTCCGTTTTTTCCTGAAATAGGTGTTTGGTATGTGTGATGATGTCACTGGTTTTGTAGAGAGACGCGGCAGAGATGGCGCGGATAACCCGGGTTCCTTAATTGTGTACCTGCATCATCGTGGAAGACCCCTTCAATGTGGAACGATTCCTAGTCAGTGTCGATGTTTACAGTTATGTGCCTAACACAGATGATCTGGATAGATTCGGGTGATTGTCAATTGCAATGATGGCTTTGGTTGAGTGTTCTTCTTTATTGTATGTCCACGGACTCATTCTGACAGCACTTCAGACAGCAGCTGCATGCCCCGAGCTTGTGTACCATGCACCATGGTGATATTATTGTACAGACAGCACTTCAAACAGCAGTACGCTGTAGCCGACAAACATTCATTTTGGTAATACATGCGGAACAAGGGGGTGATGCTGCTGTCGTAGTCGAATTGTAGTGTGTGGGCGTGTAGTTCAGTTGTGAGCACGCAAACGTGCTGCAGGGATTATAGTGTGTACCTCCTCGGGCTTGTGTACCCTTTTCTTGCTAGTAGTGTGCGTGTTCTTTAGATCTTCTGATGGCTCTAGCATTTTTGTGACCACGGACCGGGTCTTTGCTAGATTTTGGGATTAGCAACTGACACGAAGAAGAACAAAACAAAAATAAAAACATGTGCTGGATGATTTGGGTAACGCAAACTGGTAAGACTGCCGTTTGGTAGGGGGCACCTCGATGATTCACGGGGCCCCTCCTTGGTGTGGGAGCTTGTGCACTCCCTCTTTCGTCCGTGTGAAGGACGGTCGTCGACCTCTCGTGAATTTAATACATCACCACAACAGTCTCATCCGATAAATATGTGGCGTAGGCCGCAAACACTCTAGAGTTGTTTTTTCCCCTCGAGGGAAGCCACATCGGGATGAGCACTGCCGAGATGAGATGCCCACTGCTGCGAGCGAAGAACAGATCCGCTCGCTGGTGGAGGAGGACCGCGATGCAGAGCTTGCAAGTTTGCAACGGCAGATTTCGCAATTGGTGGTCCTGGTGGAGGAATCGTTGAAGAAGAAGGAGCCTGGCAGCGTCGTGGCGGATGCAGCCAGTAGGGGCGGCTTGGTTTGCTGCCCCCGAAAGCCAAGAGCCCCTGCAGGGGGATTTCCCCAGCAGCAAGCGAGAGATAGTGGGCAAGGACCACGGCAGCTGCTGGAAGGCGGCTGGGCCACTAGATCGGGAGCGAATCCTGCGAGACCAGCCGGTNGCGCTTCTTCTGCCACGTCCAGTGCTGTGGCGTCCGCAGACGTCCCCCCCCGCCGGCACTTCCACCACGAGCACCACCGCCCCCTCGGTCGGGCACTTGCTCTTGTCGTGCCCGTAACCCTTGCATGTCTCACATCGCACGGGCTTGCTCTCAGTGCAGTCGGCCACCTGGTGGCCCTTCTTGCCGCACCGGAAACAGCGACCGCGCATGCTACCCGCATCGTCGCCGCCGCCTCCTCCCCCGCAGCCGCCGCCACCCTTGCGGCGGCCGCCGTTGCCGCGGCCCGGCGCTCCTCCCCCACCGCTACGGTCGCTCGCGAGGAGAGAGTGCTCCGCCCTCCGCTGGCCCCTCGAGGCCTTCCTCCTCTCCGGTAGGCTCGCGTGCACCGTGCTCACGATCCTGACGATCTCGGCCCTATCCTGCGCCGTTGCTGTCTCCAACAGAAACTTCGTTTGCTGGTACTCGGGTGGGAGGGAACCAACGAAGTGGGCGAGTACAAAGGATGCGTCAGCGTTGAGCCCCTTCTCGCGTAGGCGTGAGTACAGCAGCTCGAGCGTGTACAGGTGCTCGATGGGGTTTCTGCTGCTGTGTGTGAATTCCTCGACGGCTACAGCAGTAGCCTCATGAAGAGAGTAACAGTCAAATGCCCTGCGTCTCGAAGGGGAGAGTCGCGGACATGGGTATGACTCGTGGAGAACGTCGCTTTTCGAAGCGGCCAAGACTGTAGGACTGGACGGCCAATTGATCGGCAACAACGAGAGACACGCACTTCCATCCATTGCTAAACGAGAGACACGCACTTCCATCCATTGCNTAGGCGTGAGTACAGCAGCTCGAGCGTGTACAGGTGCTCGATGGGGTTTCTGCTGCTGTGTGTGAATTCCTCGACGGCTACAGCAGTAGCCTCATGAAGAGAGTAACAGTCAAATGCCCTGCGTCTCGAAGGGGAGAGTCGCGGACATGGGTATGACTCGTGGAGAACGTCGCTTTTCGAAGCGGCCAAGACTGTAGGACTGGACGGCCAATTGATCGGCAACAACGAGAGACACGCAC